ACAAGAACAATTTATTTTAGCCTAACCCAACTAAATATAATTTAGATTTGTTTACAATAATTTAATACTAAACAAACACAGTGAAATATATTTTTTTCGTTTGGTTCAGAATGATTTTGGCGAAATTATTGCTTGTCCTATATGGCAAGATGAGCGTTGCTATTTAAGCCAAGATCGCAAGTTCTGCCTATTCGGCACGACATATATATATATATATATATATATATATTATATATATATTATATATATATATATATATATATATATATATATATATATTTTGTGTGTGTACTCACCTAGTTGTACTCACCTAGTTGAGGTTGCGGGGGTCGAGTCCGAGCTCCTGGCCCCGCCTCTTCACTGATCGCTACTAGGTCACTCTCCCTGAGCCGTGAGCTTTATCATACCTCTGCTTAAAGCTATGTATGGATCCTGCCTCCACTACATCGCTTCCCAAACTATTCCACTTACTGACTACTCTGTGGCTGAAGAAATACTTCCTAACATCCTGTGATTCATCTGTGTCTTCAGCTTCCAACTGTGTCCCCTTGTTACTGTGTCCAATCTCTGGAACATCCTGTCTTTGTCCACCTTGTCAATTCCTCTCAGTATTTTGTATGTCGTTATCATGTCCCCCCTATCTCTCCTGTCCTCCAGTGTCGTCAGGTTGATTTCCCTTAACCTCTCCTCGTAGGACATACCTCTTAGCTCTGGGACTAGTCTTGTTGCAAACCTTTGCACTTTCTCTAGTTTCTTTACGTGCTTGGCTAGGTGTGGGTTCCAAACTGGTGCCGCATACTCCAATATGGGCCTAACGTATACGGTGTACAGGGTCCTGAACGATTCCTTATTAAGATGTCGGAATGCTGTTCTGAGGTTTGCTAGGCGCCCATATGCTGCAGCAGTTATTTGGTTGATGTGCGCTTCAGGAGATGTGCCTGGTGTTATACTCACCCCAAGATCTTTTTCCTTGAGTGAGGTTTGTAGTCTCTGACCCCCTAGACTGTACTCCGTCTGCGGCCTTCTTTGCCCTTCCCCAATCTTCATGACTTTGCACTTGGTGGGATTGAACTCCAGGAGCCAATTGCTGGACCAGGTCTGCAGCCTGTCCAGATCCCTTTGTAGTTCTGCCTGGTCTTCGATCGAGTGTATTCTTCTCATCAACTTCACGTCATCTGCAAACAGGGACACCTCAGAGTCTATTCCTTCCGTCATGTCGTTCACAAATACCAGAAACAGCACTGGTCCTAGGACTGACCCCTGCGGGACCCCGCTGGTCACAGGTGCCCACTCTGACACCTCGCCACGTACCATGACTCGCTGCTGTCTTCCTGACAAGTATTCCCTGATCCATTGTAGTGCCTTCCCTGTTATCCCTGCTTGGTCCTCCAGTTTTTGCACCAATCTCTTGTGTGGAACTGTGTCAAACGCCTTCTTGCAGTCCAAGAAAATGCAATCCACCCACCCCTCTCTCTCTTGTCTTACTGCTGTCACCATGTCATAGAACTCCAGTAGGTTTGTGACACAGGATTTCCCGTCCCTGAAACCATGCTGGCTGCTGTTGATGAGATCATTCCTTTCTAGGTGTTCCACCACTCTTCTCCTGATAATCTTCTCCATGATTTTGCATACTATACATGTCAGTGACACTGGTCTGTAGTTTAATGCTTCATGTCTGTCTCCTTTTTTAAAGATTGGGACTACATTTGCTGTCTTCTATGCCTCAGGCAATCTCCCTGTTTCGATAGATGTATTGAATATTGTTGTTAGGGGTACACATAGCGCCTCTGCTCCCTCTCTCAATACCCATGGGGAGATGTTATCTGGCCCCATTGCCTTTGAGGTATCTAGCTCACTCAGAAGCCTCTTCACTTCTTCCTCGGTTGTGTGCACTGTGTCCAGCACTTGGTGGTGTGCCCCACCTCTCCGTCTTTCTGGAGTCCCTTCTGTCTCCTCTGTGAACACTTCTTTGAATCTCTTGTTGAGTTCTTCACATACTTCACGGTCATTTCCTGTTGTCTCTCCTCCTTCCTTCCTTAGCCTGATTACCTGGTCCTTGACTGTTGTTTTCCTCCTGATGTGGCTGTACAACAGTTTCGGGTCAGATTTGGCTTTTGCTGCTATGTCATTTTCATATTGTCTTTGGGCCTCCCTTCTTATCTGTGCATATTCGTTTCTGGCTCTACGACTGTTCTCCTTATTCTCCTGGGTCCTTTGCCTTCTATATTTCTTCCATTCCCTAGCACACTTGGTTTTTGCCTCCCTGCACCTTTGGGTAAACCATGGGCTCATCCTGGCTTTTTCATTACTCCTGTTACCCTTGGGTACAAACCTCTCCTCAGCCTCCTTGCATTTTGTTGCTACATATTCCATCATCTCATTAACTGGCTTCCCTGCCAGTTCTCTGTCCCACTGAACCCCATTCAGGTAGTTCCTCTTCCTGTGTAGTCCCCTTTCTTGTAGTTTGGCTTCATTCGTCCTGGCCTTCCTGCTTCTCCCTCCACTTGTAGCTCTACTGTGTATTCGAAGCTTAAAACCACATGGTCACTGGCCCCAAGGGGTCTTTCATATGTGATGTCCTCGATATCTGCACTACTGAAGGTGAATACTAAGTCCAGCCTTCCTGGTTCATCCTCTCCTCTCTCTCTTGTAGTGTCCCTTACGTGTTGGTACATGAAGTTCTCCAGTACCACCTCCATCATCCTAGCCCTCCATGTATCTTGGCCCCCATGTGGGTCCAAGTTCTCCCAATCGATCTCCTTGTGGTTAAAGTCACCCATGATCAGGAGCTTTGCCCTGCATGCATGAGCTCTTCTGGCCACTCTAGCCAGTGTGTCAACCATCGCTCTATTGCTCTCGTCGTACTCTTGCCTTGGCCTCCTGCTGTTCTGTGGTGGGTTATACATCACTGCTATTAGCACCTTGGGACCTCCAGAGTGAAGTGTTCCCACTATGTAATCACTTTCTTCTCCGCTATCTCCTCTCTCCAGCTCATCAAAATTCCAGCGATTTTTGATCAGCAACGCCACTCCTCCACCCCCCCTGTTCCCTCTGTCTTTCCTCAGGATTTGGTATCCCGTTGGAAAGATGGCATCTGTTATCATACCTGTAAGCTTGGTTTCTGTGAGAGCTATGATGTCCGGTGATGCTTCTGTGTGTGTGTGTGTGTGTGTGTGTGTATAAGCATCGAGGAGTGTGTACCTGGAGTATCTCCAGAGGTTTACATCACTTATCAATACATATTTGAATTGAGAATTGACCCTAGTTCCTATTTGGGAATTAAAACTAGGAATAACGTTAGTTATCCTAGGTTCACCATTTAATTATCACTTGGTCACCATCTCGTCTGCCTGAGTAATGCAGTCGGTATAACATACGTATATTAAAAGAAATACTTACGTAAATCATTTAAAGAATCAATTTGATATAATTAAATATAATCATCATCCTTGATCCTCAGACCTTAAAAAACTAACATCTCACTTATAAAATAATTCTCACCCTGATGTTGCTAGATGAAATATATGGGTGGGATGGCAGGTTGGTTGCTGACCAAAGTTCTGCATATTTCCTTGAAACTTGCTGTCTCTGTTCACCTAGCAGTAAGTAGGTAACTGGGTATTAGTAGATTGTTGTGGGTGGCATCCTGGGGGTGATAGTATCCCTTAGATGGGGCTGGGCTTTGACATGAGCCGAGTAGGGTGCAGTGACACGTATAGCTTACTGCTGAGACCGTTCGGCTCACAACCAGGAGGTCCCGGGTTCGAAACTTTGGCCGGTGAAACTTAGTACAAGAACACAATAAAGGAGCACTGCAGCAGGCCTACTGGTCCATGTTAGGCAGATACAAGTCTCCTGGCATTCCTGTTGCTCCTACTAGCAGTAACTGGGGCATCCTAGTGTTAGACAATTGTTGTGGGTAGCGTCCAGTAACATATTGAGAATTCAAGACCTCTTGGAAGTCATATCCTGGGCAAAAACGAATTTGATGTTGATGAGAGGCTCTTGATCTAAAGAATTGAACTCAAGAACATAAGAAAGAAGGAAAACTGAAGCAGGCCTACTGGCCCATGTGAGGCAGGTCCAAATCACCTACCAGCTTATGCCACTAATTAACTTTCATTTCCCAGGCTCTGTACCACCCCCCTTCCTTCCTATGAGATTAGTGGTGCTACCTAAATATAAAAATTGGCAAAAATGGCACTACGTAACAAAATTCTAGACCTCTTATATACCCATATTGAGAGTAATTTATTGAGACCTCAATAATAATAGCAATTGATTATTAACCATTTTACTGGAAACTACACATGTTCACATAGGTTATCTTCCTAAAACGATGTACTCATGGAAATATATTTGATGTTTCACATATATATACTTGTACAAATCATTATCACTGGTCGTGTACTGGACGTGTGAGTCTTGCCGCAGTGGTGCCACATCTGTGTTCGACCTTAAACTTAATACTCGCAAGATATTTTCAGACTTAATTTTTGTTTACAGACGGCTGTTTCGAATTTTAACTATGTTTGCACTAAAAAAATATAATTATTATAGGCATTAATTAGTATTAAATGATTAAAATTTATTTTTAAAACAAAAGAAAAACTATGCAAACATAACTTAGGTTAAGGTTAATAATACTATAATAGCACTAAAAAATCCACTTTTCTAGTGAAATGTATTAAAATACGATACATTAATGTATTAACGATATTATTTGGAAAGTCTAAATTGCGATTGGTATTGCATTATCTGGGGTATTTCCAGAAAAAAAGACCTAATTTATTAAAGCACCATACACATGTGACTCAGGTATATCAGTTAAATTCAGATATAGCTGTTGAAATGAAGGAATTTACCAGTAATAAGATATTTTGTTAGTACATAAGATTATTTGTGTGTATGGCATGGTGAGGTGTTACTCAGCTCTGGTAACTGTGTCACAGGATCAGCCATACTCGTCCTGTAACACGGTGGAGTAGGAGGTAGCGACAGTGTTTTGTCGCATTTTCTCTCAGGTTAGCACCTCTAGGCTTATTTCATAGCCAAAATTACTTTTGAAGTGAATTAAGGAATACGTTGGAGCACATCCAAGGCTTAAAATAATACTTGTGTTGAATGAGAGTTCAGTAAATGGCGGTGCTGAACAGGACGCGGGTTGATGACACGGAGATTGTGTTGCTCATTTAATATTTAGTCGTATTTAGCGAGATAATGAAGGGACTGCAACTTCTGACTCTCCGGAATGTTACGGCCAGTGTGTTAAAGCGTCGGAAGTAGTGGGAATGTTGGAAAGTTTGTATAAAGGTTGTGTTGGGTGGTAGGAGTGGCTGGTACAGCTGGAAGCTTCCCAGGTTACGACGTGTGGACCTACGTCATCACTTTGGGAAAAATGAACGTATTTGTCCACTTACCATTATAAAATGGGGCCAGCTAATAGAAATGGATTATTTAATCAACGAATATAGTGGCACATGATTATAAGCGGATGGAAAGTGGAGGTGAAGACTTATGTCCAAGGAATTAGAGCTATCCTTTATGCCTGCTGTATAGCCCTTGTGGCTTAGCGCATCTTTTTAGTAAGTAAGTAAGTAAGTGAATTTATTCAGGTATACACAAATACAGTTACATAGAATTATCATACATAGCAGCATATGTGTAGAGAACCTAGGATAACCCAAAAAAGTCAGACAGTGATTATAATAACAATATCCTTTATGCCTTATATCCTCCCATTAGATTGTACTTTATTAAGTTTATTTAGGCACAGGTACACGTAAATACAATTACCATGCATAATGTAAATTACTGAGGATAACCCCCAAAATAGGTCACTGACATTTTTGGGTTATCCTAGGTAATTTGCACTATGTATGATAATTGTATTTGTGTACCTGTGTCTGTAAACTGATTAGCGCTTCCTGACGAATGTATGTAGCAAGCTGTTTAATACCACAAATAATTTCTAGAAAAAAGATAGTGATACCACTGGCAGTATTTAAAAAACCTCAATCCATTTTTATGAATTAAAGATTTTGTATATAGCAGCAGGGTTAGTGATGACGTCACACCACAACCCACTCCTTTTTCTCCTCATAATTGGGTAATTAAGTAAATATTTTTTTTTTATCAAAATGTACTTGACTGTTGTTTTATTTTTATATGAACTCTCCGATACTAAATGCGCTGTTCATTGGATATAATATACCTATGATGAGTTTCGCAAGTTTAACTACTGAGTCCGGCCATGGGCCAGGCTCTGAGTGTATTTACAGAAAAGGACCTTTCTGTAAACAGTTTTACAGCTGGTAAGTAAGTAAGTAAGTTTATTCAGGTATACACAAATACAGTTACATAGAATTATCATATATAGCAGCATATGTGTAGAGAACCTAGGATAACCCAAAAAAGTCAGACTGAGTGACTTATTTCCATTGGTCTAGGTTAGGTTGCATTGGGTTATGTTATTAAGCTTACTTATCAAAATAAAGCTTCTTTCCTGTTTAAAATATAACACCCCATTACATAACCCTGCTTAAAAAAATTTGTTTAGGCAAAATAAGAATATCATTTATCATTTAATTAATTTCCACAACAAAGAACTTTTTCTGTGTAATACATAACATGGCTTTTTATAAAGTGCTATGTTTCTGTCTTGGGGAAAATGTACATAATGACCAGTGTATTTTATTTGATAAGTTATACAAGAATGGTTAATGATAATCTTCATTTTTACAAGCACATGTACAAGGTATACAGGCCTTGCTGACATAACACATACTATATAGAAAGCCCCCGTGTTATGCAGAGCATTTCAGGCAGATTAGGTCAATTTTGTCACAAGATGCGACCCATACCAGTCGACTAACACCCAGGTACCTATTTTACAGATAGGACAGGAGGTATCTTAAGGAAACACGTTCTAGTGTTTCCAGCTGTACCGGGGATCGACCCCCAGACCTCAGTGTGTGAGCTGAGTGCGCTAACAATTAATGCAAATGATATATGGGATACACGTAGTGTTTAATAATTTTATGAACCCTTGAAGAACTCTACTGGATTATTCTGGGATGGATCTACATAATGTACATTGTGTCCATTATAACTTTACACACAACACCATTGTAAAATGTGTGTAATGTAGTTAAAAATAGATTTATTTGACTTAGTTTTCAAATACCTTGGATCATGATTATCTTCCCATTCCTTGAATAAGACCTGTTTACATTCTATTACCCAAGCTTAACACTTCTCAGTAAATAAGCATATTCCTTTTTGGGGGACAACACTACAAATTGGGATTTATTAAACAGTTGTATCCCAGGAGGGTTTATATTGAAATGAATGATTGCAAATAATAAATAATAATAATTATTTTTACAAGTGCATGTACAAGGTATAAAGACCTAGACCCTTGTTATGCAGAGCATTTTGGACAAATTAGGTCAATTTTGTCCCCAGGAGGCGATCCACACGAGTCAACTGACACCCCAGGTACATATTTTACTGCTAGGTGAACAGGGACAACAGGTGTCTTAAGGAAACATCACCTAATGTTTCCACAAGTACCTAGGATCAAACTACGGGACAAACACTAATCACCCTCACATACAACCTCCTGCAATTATTCCTACAGTTGAGACCTTCTTTAATTTATTTATTTATTTATTTATTTATTAATTTGAACATGATACAGAGAAGTACAAGGAATACAATTTTTAAAGTGCAGAGCATGCACTTTATTGGTATTTAAATGCACGAAGATTTAATGCAAGGTAATATAATTGGACTACATATGCAATTTATTAGATATCACTGAGGTTGGGTAGCACTAAAATATAATAAACAAAAAAATAATTGTATCAAGGGTTAGGCTGGTGTGTGTGCATGTACTTGTGGGCATTTGCAACTTGTATTTTATGATACAAGGTCATTGGCTTCATTTGATGATTTGGTTCTAGGTCTTTGAGGTACAGGCAGGCCCCACTTATACAGCAGGTTAGGTTCTGGGCTACTACTGTAAAATGAAACAGCCTTTTTTCAACTTCAAATGCATAAATTTACACTGATATATTTATTATATATATTTACACTATAATATGTTAAGTGAGCAATGGATGTAGGACATCCAATGTAAGGAAACACGCCCAGTGTTTCTACCCTTGCCGGGAGTCGAACCCGGACACTCACCATGTGAAGCAAGAGCTTTTGCCACCAGGCCATGGGCCACTGTTGGTAAATGTATTTATTGTAGAAAGTCTGAATAAATGAAGACGGGATAATTGAAAACCATTGTACTAGTGAAATGCTGTAAAGCAAGGCCCTACAATTTATAACATTCATCATCACCCAGCACATTGAATTCTGAGAAGATGTGTCACCATAGAAGGCACAGAAAAGCATAATTTATGTACAGTTTTTGTAAACTAGTAATTATTTTATTAAAAAAAGTATGCACTTAAGAGAGGGGAAACTTAAGATGTTTTGGTCCAACTTGGACCACTGGCAATTGTCAAAGTCTGACTGATTTACCATCTTAAGTATCTCGTCTTTTTGAAAAAATCTACTTCGATTGCATTTATCAAACTTCCACTCTGTTGATAAGACCTTGTACATAATGTTTAAGAACAGCTAAAAAAATTCATATGAACTCAAACAATGCATCAGTCAAAAGGCAGGACAAGGGTAAATTCTTGGGACTACACCTGGACAGCAAACTAAAAATCACTGCACACTCAGAACATTTCTAAAAAAAAAAAAAAAAAAAAAAAAAAGTGTGGCATTCTTTTAAATATACTGTTGTGTATCTTGGACATCCTGTTACGTATCTCAACCATCCCTACTTGCCTTGTACTATTCTAATCTATTCCTACCTCACTTACGTTATTTGCATGGGGATCACCAACAGCTAATCACTTGTAATAAAGTTGGTAGAATTACCGACAATATGTAAAGTAAAAGGACACAAGTGCAACTAATGTGACATTTATTGTGGCAACGTTTCGCTCTCCAGGAGCTTTATCAAGCCATTACAAACAATACATGGACACAGAGGGTATATAAAGGCTCAAGAGTGAGGTGAATACTAGTGAGGTACCATTTCGATGTTCACTAGTGGTAGTAGTAGTAGTAGTAGTAGTAGTAGTGACAAAAGTAATACAATATGGTAGAGCAATTAATTCGTACATGAGTAAAAGGATATAAAAGCTATTACTTGGGTAACATAAAAATAGGTTGGACAAATATAAACTGGAATGAGGCAGCTTGTTTCAGTGTTCACTCTCTGTGCTTTGTGTAGTATAACAGGAGAGACTATGTGATGGCAGGGTTTACTGTTTTCAGGAGGATTCTTGCTAAGACTTCGGAGATGGTGAAGCTGCCGTTGTTTTGTTTAATTGTATTCGAAACAGCGATCAGTGCTGATTCGAGGCACTTGCGTCTGCGGAAATTAGTTTCTTTGATCACTAATTGGGCGTCTCTGAATTTCATGAGATGATTGGTGGAATTTCGGTGTTGTACACAGGCGTTGTTCAGGTTATCGTTCCTACATGCGTAAATGTGTTCATTGAGGCGGGTGTCGAGGTTTCTGGCTGTTTCACCTACGTAAATCTTGTCACAGCCTCCACAGGGTATAGTGTAAACTCCTGCATTGACTGGTTCGTGGTGCTTGGATTTTGTCCTGGTTAAATCCTTTATTGAAGTGCTAGAAGCGATGGCGACTCTGGTGTTAGCTTGTGAAAGCGCTTTTGAGACGTTCAGTGCAACCTGACTGTTGGGAAGAATTATAACTTTGCTGGGAGTGGTGTTGATGCGTGGAGAATTTATGATCTGAAGAGCTCTTTTCTTGCAGTCTTTGATGAAAAAAGAAGGAAAATGTAACTCTGTGAATGTTTGGTGAATGTATGTACACTCCTCGTCAAGAAACTCAGGACTACAAATTCGGTATGCTCTTAGGAAAAACCCGATGATGATGCCTCTTTTGGTCTTGGTATCTTGACTGGAATAGAAGTGTGTGAGATCATTTTTATTGGTGGGTTTCCGATAAACTTGAAATCTTAGGTTGTTGTCTACTTTGTGAATGAGGACGTCGAGGAAAGGTAGCTTGTCATTGGACTCTTCTTCTAGTGTAAACTGGATCGCCGGTTCAACTGCGTTGAGCCTTGCCTGAAGATCCCGTACATCAAAACGTTTTGGAGTCATTACGAGGACATCGTCCACGTAACGTAACCAAGTGACGCTTGAAGGGATGATGTTGGCGAAGTGTTCGGACTCTAGGTGTTCCATATATAAGTTGGCTAGGATGGCACTTATGGGGGACCCCATTCCCATGCCATAGGTTTGTTTGTAGAGCTTGTTATTGAAAGAAAAACAGTTGAAATTAACACAGAGTTCAATTAAGTCAACAAAATCTCCGGGAGGTAGAGGAAGATTAAGGTCCTGATTGACTTTACGTCGTAGAACCTCGATGGCTTTTTTGGTAGGTACTTTTGTGAAGAGGGAAGTCACTTCCAAACTAAGCAGTTTGGATGTGACTTCCCTCTTCACAAAAGTACCTACCAAAAAAGCCATCGAGGTTCTACGACGTAAAGTCAATCAGGACCTTAATCTTCCTCTACCTCCCGGAGATTTTGTTGACTTAATTGAACTCTGTGTTAATTTCAACTGTTTTTCTTTCAATAACAAGCTCTACAAACAAACCTATGGCATGGGAATGGGGTCCCCCATAAGTGCCGTCCTAGCCAACTTATACATGGAACACCTAGAGTCCGAACACTTCGCCAACATCATCCCTTCAAGCGTCACTTGGTTACGTTACGTGGACGATGTCCTCGTAATGACTCCAAAACGTTTTGATGTACGGGATCTTCAGGCAAGGCTCAACGCAGTTGAACCGGCGATCCAGTTTACACTAGAAGAAGAGTCCAATGACAAGCTACCTTTCCTCGACGTCCTCATTCACAAAGTAGACAACAACCTAAGATTTCAAGTTTATCGGAAACCCACCAATAAAAATGATCTCACACACTTCTATTCCAGTCAAGATACCAAGACCAAAAGAGGCATCATCATCGGTTTTTCCTAAGAGCATACCGAATTTGTAGTTCTGAGTTTCTTGACGAGGAGTGTACATACATTCACCAAACATTCACAGAGTTACATTTTCCTTCTTTTTTCATCAAAGACTGCAAGAAAAGAGCTCTTCAGATCATAAATTCTCCACGCATCAACACCACTCCCAGCAAAGTTATAATTCTTCCCAACAGTCAGGTTGCACTGAACGTCTCAAAAGCGCTTTCACAAGCTAACACCAGAGTCGCCATCGCTTCTAGCACTTCAATAAAGGATTTAACCAGGACAAAATCCAAGCACCACGAACCAGTCAATGCAGGAGTTTACACTATACCCTGTGGAGGCTGTGACAAGATTTACGTAGGTGAAACAGCCAGAAACCTCGACACCCGCCTCAATGAACACATTTACGCATGTAGGAACGATAACCTGAACAACGCCTGTGTACAACACCGAAATTCCACCAATCATCTCATGAAATTCAGAGCGCCCAATTAGTGATCAAAGAAACTAATTTCCGCAGACGCAAGTGCCTCGAATCAGCACTGATCGCTGTTTCGAATACAATTAAACAAAACAACGGCAGCTTCACCATCTCCAAAGTCTTAGCAAGAATCCTCCTGAAAACAGTAAACCCTGCCATCACATAGTCTCTCCTGTTATACTACACAAAGCACAGAGAGTGAACACTGAAACAAGCTGCCTCATTCCAGTTTATATTTGTCCAACCTATTTTTATGTTACCCAAGTAATAGCTTTTATATCCTTTTACTCATGTACGAATTAATTGCTCTACCATATTGTATTACTTTTGTCACTACTACTACTACTACTACCACTAGTGAACATCGAAATGGTACCTCACTAGTATTTACCTCACTCTGAGCCTTTATATACCCTCTGTGTCCATGTATTGTTTGTAATGGCTTGATAAAGCTCCTGGAGAACAAAAGCTAATCACTTGAAACCTGTTGTTACTCAGCAGAAATCAGCTCTTAATATAATATTTATTTACTACAAGTACATGTATAAAGCTAGTTTGTCAGTTTTATCCCAGGATGCTACCCACACCAGTCTACTAACACTCAGGTTCCCATTTTACTGATTGGGAACATAAACAACCGGTGTAGAGAAACATGCCCAAGATTTCTACCCTCACTTGCTGTGGAAGAAAGAGTTTTAATTACCAGGCCATGGAGCACCCAAAGAATAATTACATTCAGGTTGCATCAATGTACCCCTCCCCTATTTGAAGTTTAAATTTGCTTAATATTCAAAATATTTACTTTATACTGTACATGCTATGTATATAGGTCACTCAATGCAAACACTCTGGATAACTGCAACAGAACACATGAACATTACAAGAAACAAATATCTCTTCAAATATATACCACATGTAGAACTCGACCTGTTCAGTAACCCCATGCCAGTAAAAGGCCCTAAAATATGGAGCTCTTTGCCTGAAAATGGCAGTTCCCTATTTGTCCATGGTTTTAATATTACTTAAATATATCCACTATATAATGATTGTAAATGCTCATGCCTTGTTGTCACCAGTTTAATTCAAATACTCCATAAAAAGCATCACATTGATCTGGTGTAACTCCATTTTGATCATTTAAAACTGTCCAGTCTTTCACATATAACCTGTCTCATTATACTTATGATCGGGATGAGTTACTCATGATGTACTGATATCCAGTGCCTAAAATAATATTCTAGGATTAGAATTAGTACTTCAGTATCCAAGTTTTAGGATTAGTTCACCTGAAATGCTTTGTATAATAAGTGACTTTCAACCAAATGTACCTTTATATCAAATTGTACTTGTAACAAAACTGTAACCAAATGAAATGTTTATCTTGAGTAGCAGGATGACATCACAATAGAGATGGCCTTCCAAACTGCAACATCACCTACAATGAAGGAGGGGTGGAGATGTTGCAGTTCGGAAGGTATCAGACCTGGCAAGACACTAATTTAATGAGTGATGGTGAAATTGTTAATCTTTTTTGGGTCACCCTACTTTAGTGGGAGATGGTTGTTGTACCAAAACAGAGAGAGATATAACATGGGCACTTTAAAAAGACAAGATGGTTGTTGAAGGGAGGGAGGGTAACGTGTAAGAGAATTATGATATATTATTTTATTTTGCACAAAAGTGGGAGGGTTTAGTGGGGATGTAAAGAAAGAAAAGATTTGATATTTTAATTTCTTAAATTGTCTTAGATACTGGGATGAGAGACCATATACCTTTGTATTAATTGCCCTAATGTGTGATATGGTATGTAATATTGATTTTCTTTCAGAATTTCATTTTAATGTACATATTAATTAATACTGTTTTTATTGCAGGTTCAGATTTGTATCCTGGAAAGAAGTTAGTACCTACAACCTACTGCATTCAGCAAAGTGCTGGCTACGATCTGCTCTCCGAGCAGCCATTTACTCCCAGTGTACTGAGTAGTTGAGTAACTCCTGGTGCGGGTTGTGACCGCATTAGGTTAGTGAATCAACTCCTCCCAAGCACTGTGGCAGATTTCAACGGGTGAAGGCACCCAAGAGCTGTCCAAGCAGAAATTTCCTTCAAGTTTAGTTGAGTAACTCTCCTGGTGCGGGTTGTGACCGCATTGGGTTGGTGAATCAACTCCCTCCCTAGCACTGCTGTTCCTTTAACGGGTGAAAGCACCCAAGGGCTGTCCAAGCAGAAATTTAATCCCAGTTTAGTTGAGTAACTCTCTTGGTGCGGGTTGTGACCGCATTGGGTTGGTGAATCAACTCCCTCCCTAGCACTGCTGTTCCTTTCAACAGGTGAAAGCACCCAAGGGCTGTCCAAGCAGAAATTTAATCCCAGTTTAGTTGAGTAACTCTCTTGGTGCGGGTTGTGACCGCATTGGGTTGGTGAATCAACTCCCAAGCACCTTTGCTTCTTTCAACGTGTGAAGGCATACATGAGCTAAGCCAAAGTTTCCTCCCAGATCAATTAACTCGACTAGTTGCAGTGTTCGTAAAGATTTTGCTAAAATGGTTGCTCCATATGAAATTGGAGATCCTATGCGTTCCTTTGTTCGTGTCCCAGGAAGTGGAGCAGACAAAGCTGCAAAGCCTATTTGCTGGGACCTTGCTCGCTCTTCAACAGTTGCTGGAGCAGTACCTGTTCAGCCAACAATCCCATCAGCCATCCCAATAACTACATTGTTCAAGCCAGCAAAATCTAATGAAGAAAATAACAGACCTAACAGTGAAGAGCAAGGAGCTGTAGCTCAGGTTGATGAGCAAACCGAGGAAAGAGCATCAGCAAAATCCATCAGTAAGAATGCCTCTGCAAGCAAGCAGGAAAGCTCTGTGGCACAGGCAGCAAGACCAACTGAAGAACCATGTCCAAATATATCAAATTGTACACCTCTGAAGCCTGATGGTGGAGGACAATCTGCAGGTGCACGCAAAAGAAAGCACATCATTGAGTCTGGAAGATTAGAACAAGAGAGTGGACCTTCACTCACAAAGGTTCAGTGCGTGTCACAGGAAATGGAAGAAGACGGTAAAATTGCTACTACTTCTACTGGTGCATCATCACAAGTACAGGAGGAATTATCCAAACTGACTAAAGAACGTGATCAACTACGTCAAGAAAATGAAGAGCTCCGAAACAGGTTGACCCTGTTCCATGATCTCTTCAGGAACAAGAAGCGCCTTTCATTGCTTGTTAGGCGCATGGGCATAATAAACTAACTGTTGCACTCAGACGCAAGTGCCATTGAGTCTGGAAGATTAGAAGGCAGGGAACCTGTAAAAGTGTGTGTTGCTTCCGTTACTGGCAGAATCATAACACGGATGAATTATCTAAACCCCAAGAGCAAGAAGTACCCAACATTTTTGAGTTGCTTTGGCATAAATTTAATTGCTGCATGCAAACATAAATGCAATTGAACATGGATGGCTAAAAAAGTGAGCTCATGTTCAGTATTAGTTGCTACTAATAATGTGATAAATCTGAAAACAAGCAGCACAAAAATAGACTGAGCCTGTTTTGTGACCTCAACAAGATGCACTTGACAAATTAACCATGGCAAAATAAAAATGCCATTCTATTAGCACATGACTGCTCATTATTAGTGTTACTTTGCCGGCACTTCTCCAGAAGGAAATAAAAGCTGCAAATTGGGATAGGTTCTGTTGATTTGCATGATTGAGTAACACTTGATCTGTTTGGTTCTAATGTATTTGTATGTACTGTATTACTGTGGAAGAATTTTGAGTGAATGCTTGTTCTGGGGCTTTAAAGAAGATTTCCTCAATTTATATATGTAATTGATGTGCAGATTTTTACAGTACTGTTCCACTAGTTAATGTAGGCAAAAATGCCTTAACTATAAAGTTAGGGGTTTCTTCTTTTTTTGGTTACTCTTATCGTGGTGGGAGACAGTCGCTGTGATTTATAAGTGTAATACAATTTGCAAATAAAGAACCAATCAGCTCTCAATTAGTGACTAAATTATTACTCCAGGAATAATTTAGTGACTTTAATTTTGTAACTCAATGTTTAATTTTGCAACTCAATGTTTCTATCAAATGCAGACCTAATTACACACTTCCAGTTAACCCTCTCACAGTTGCAATGTTCAAAATGCAACACAAGGCAAAATCTTAATTGAATGTTTAATCTCCTGTAGTTTAACTATAATAGGATGGTCAGAGCACTGATTAGTTCCTTTTGTCTCCTCTTTACAGATACTAGTATTAGCTGAATTCAGTCATGACTACTCGTGTAAGATTATTGCCCTAAGATAGGTAGTGTGAACTCGCTTTAAATAAAAATGTTGTCCTTTCTATAACAGCCTCTTATTTTCACACTTATCAAGTACTACTGTTGGTACTGTTTACTTTGAGGAAGTGTTGCATATTATATCAATAGGTGCAATTGCTTTAACTTAAATCACATAACCTCAAATTATTAGTTCCATTTGTTTTAAATGTTACAAACATTCCTTTGCCGGTTTATAAGCAAAATTAATTTTTATATATTTTTAAATTATTTTGGCATATAGTTTAGAACTATTGTACCTACATACAGAATTACACAAAGTAATTTTGTAGAAAAAAGATTAGATTGTGAGAGGTCTTATCTGGTCATTGAGAAACTGCACCATATATAGTTAAAGAAAAATTAAACAAAAACTTAGGTTGAAGTGCACTAATCTGAATGCCAGTTTTGAAATAGTTTTGATAGTTCATGTTAAATAATGTCATAATTCTACGTTTTGATTCAGTGCCAGTTTATCTGAAGTGAATTTTTTTTTTCTCCGAATTGTAATTTTTGTTACTTAGTTCTTCCATGTGGCTAGGTGCCAGTTTATGGCTGGAATGACTTGTTCCTCCAGTTATTCCTTGTGGCTAGGTGCCAGTTTATGGCTGGAGTGACTTTTGTTCCTCCAGTTATTCCTTGTGGCTAGATGCCAGTTTATGGCTGGAGTGACTTTTGTTGCTCCAGTTCTTCGTTGTGGCTAGGTGCCAGTTTATGGCTGGAGTGACTTTTGTTCCTCCAGTTATTCCTTGTGGCTAGATGCCAGTTTATGGCTGGAGTGACTTTTGTTGCTCCAGTTCTTCGCTGTGGCTAGGTGCCAGTTTATGGCTGGGGTGACTTTTGTTCCTCCAGTTATTCCTTGTGGCTAGATGCCAGTTTATGGCTGGAGTGACTTGTTGCTCCAGTTCTTCCTTGTGGCTAGGTGCCAGTTTATGGCTGGGGTGACTTTTGTTGCTCCAGTTATTCCTTGTGGCTAGGTGCCAGTTTATGGCTGGAGTGAATTTTGTTGCTCCAGTTCTTCCTTGTGGCTAGGTGCCAGTTTATGGCTGCGGTGACTTTTGTTGCTCCAGTTCTTCCTTGTGGCTAGGTGCCAGTTTATGGCTGGGGTGACTTTTGTTGCTGCAGTTATTCCTTGTGGCTAAGTGCCAGTTTATGGCTGGAGTGACTTTGGTTACTCCAGTTCTTCATTGTGGCTAGGTGCCAGTTTATGGCTGGAGTGACTTGTTGCTCCAGTTATTCCTTGTGGCTAGGTGCCAGTTTATGGCTGGAGTGAATTTTGTTGCTCCAGTTCTTCCTTGTGGCTAGGTGCCAGTTTATGGCTGGGGTGACTTTTGTTGCTCCAGTTCTTCCTTGTGGCTAGGTGCCAGTTTATGGTTAGGGTGACGTTTGTTGCTCCAGTTCTTCCTTGTGGCTAGGTACCAGTTTATGGCTGGAGTGAATTTTGTTGCTCCAGTTCTTCCTTGTGGCTAGGTGCCAGTTTATGGCTGGGGTGACTTTGGTTACTCCAGTTATTCCTTGTGGCTAGATGCCAGTTTATGGTTGGAGTGACTTGTTGCTCCATTTCTGCCTTGTGGCTAGGTGCCAGTTTATGGCTGGGGTGACTTGTTGCTCCAGTTCTTCCTTGTGGCTAGGTGCCAGTTTATGGCTGGGGTGACTTCGGTTACTCCAGTTCTTCTTTGTGGCTAGGTGCCAGTTTATGGCTGGAGTGACTTGTTGCTCCAGTTATTCCTTGTGGCTAGGTGCCAGTTTATGGCTGGAGTGAATTTTGTTGCTCCAGTTCTTCCTTGTGGCTAGGTGCCAGTTTATGGCTGGGGTGACTTTTGTTGCTCCAGTTCTTCCTTGTGGCTAGGTGCCAGTTTATGGTTAGGGTGACGTTTGTTGCTCCAGTTCTTCCTTGTGGCTAGGTACCAGTTTATGGCTGGAGTGAATTTTGTTGCTCCAGTTCTTCCTTGTGGCTAGGTGCCAGTTTATGGCTGGGGTGACTTTGGTTACTCCAGTTATTCCTTGTGGCTAGATGCCAGTTTATGGTTGGAGTGACTTGTTGCTCCATTTCTGCCTTGTGGCTAGGTGCCAGTTTATGGCTGGGGTGACTTGTTGCTCCAGTTCTTCCTTGTGGCTAGGTGCCAGTTTATGGCTGGGGTGGCTTTTGTTGCTGCAGTTATTCCTTGTGGCTAAGTGCCAGTTTATGGCTGGAGTGACTTTTGGTTACTCCAGTTCTTCCTTGTGGCTAGGTGCCAGTTTATGGCTGGAGTGACTTGTTGCTCCAGTTCTTCCTTGTGGCTAGGTGCCAGTTTATGGCTAGAGTGACTTTGGTTACTCCAGTTCTTCCTTGTGGCTAGGTGCCAGTTTATGGCTGGGGTGACTTTTGTTGCTGCAGTTATTCCTTGTGGCTAGGTGCCAGTTTATGGCTGGAGTGACTTTTGTTGCTCCAGTTCTTCCTTGTGGCTAGGTGCCAGTTTATGGATGGAGTGACTTGTTGCTCCAGTTCTTCGTTGTGGCTAGGTGCCAGTTTATGGCTGGAGTGACTTCTTGCTCCAGTTCTTCCTTGTGGCTAGGTGCCAGTTTATGGCTGGGGTGACTTTTGTTGCTGCAGTTATTCCTTGTGGCTAAGTGCCAGTTTATGGCTGGAGTGACTTTGGTTACTCCAGTTCTTCCTTGTGGCTAGGTGCCAGTTTATGGCTGGGGTGACTTGTTGCTCCAGTTATTCCTTGTGGCTAGGTGCCAGTTTATGGCTGGAGTGACTTTTGTTGCTCCAGTTATTCCTTGTGGCTAGGTGCCAGTTTATGGCTGGGGTGACTTTTGTTGCTGCAGTTATTCCTTGTGGCTAAGGGCCAGTTTATGGCTGGAGGGACTTTGGTTACTCCAGTTCTTCCTTGTGGCTAGGTCCCAGTTTATGGCTGGAGTGACTTGTTGCTCCAGTTATTCCTTGTGGCTAGGTGCCAGTTTATGGCTGGGGTGACTTTTGTTGCTCCAGTTATTCCTTGTGGCTAGGTGCCAGTTTATGGCTGGAGAGAGTTTTGTTGCTCCAGTTATTCCTTGTGGCTAGGTGCCAGTTTATGGCTGGAGTGAGTTTTGTTGCTCCAGTTATTCCTTGTGGCTTGGTGCCAGTTTATGGCTGGAGTGAGTTTTGTTGCTCCAGTTATTCCTTGTGGCTAGGTGCCAGTTTATGGCTGGAGTGATTTTTGTTGCTCCAGTTATTCCTTGTGGCTAGGTGCCAGTTTATGGCTGGAGGGACTTTGGTTACTCCAGTTCTTCCTTGTGGCTAGGTCCCCGTTTATGGCTGGAGTGACTTGTATGCTCCCAGTTATTCCTTGTGGCAGGTGCCAGTTTATGCTGGGGTGACTTTTGTGCTCCCAGTTATTCCTTGTGGCTAGTGCCAGTTTATGGCTGGAGTGAGTTTTGTTGCTCCAGTTATTCCTTGTGGCTAGGTGCCAGTTTATGGCTGGAGTGAGTTTTGTTGCTCCAGTTATTCCTTGTGGCTTGGTGCCAGTTTATGGCTGGAGTGAGTTTTGTTGCTCCAGTTATTCCTTGTGGCTAGGTGCCAGTTTATGGCTGGAGTGATTTTTGTTGCTCCAGTTATTCCTTGTGGCTTGGTGCCAGTTTATGGCTGGAGTGACTTGTTGCTCCAGTTTTTCCTTGTGGCTAGGTGCCAGTTTATGGCTGGAGTGACTTGTTGCTCCAGTTCTTCCTTGTGGCTAGGTGCCAGTTTATGGCTGGAGTGAGTTTTGTTGCTGCAGTTATTCCTTGTGGCTAGGTGCCAGTTTATGGCTGGGGTGACTTTTGTTGCTCCAGTTATTCCTTGTGGCTAGGTGCCAGTTTATGGTTGGAGTGACTTTGGTTACTCTAGTTCTTCCTTGTGGCTAGGTGCCAGTTTTTGGCTGGAGTGACTTTTGTTGCTGCAGTTATTCCTTGTGGCTAGGTGCCAGTTTATGGCTGGAGTGATTTTTGTTGCTCCAGTTATTCCTTTTGGCTAGGTGCCAGTTTATGACTGGAGTGAGTTTTGTTGCTCCAGTTATTCCTTGTGGCTTGGTGCCAGTTTATGACTGGAGTGACTTGTTACTCCAGTTATTCAATATAGCTAAGTGCCATTCCATATAAATAAAAAAATTTGTATACTGCTTCCTATGTTTAGAAATGGAAGCTTAAGTTACTTAGTTAATGTATGTTAAGCAAAGGAAATTTCTTCATTAAAAGTAGGCATACACTGAGGCCCATTGTATTATAGTTTAATATCTGCATCTGAAAAATTGTATTTTGTATGATTTGTTCAGCAACGTGCTTTGTTTGACTTTCTCGTGAAGTACCCTTTTTTGATGCAGATTTTATAGCTGGGGCTTTGTATATTGCTAATTTGTGAAACGGACCCAATTGCTACACTTCATGGCAAGACTTGATGCTTCACTCCTCGGATGTGTTCTTCTGTCAAGTAATGTTGAAAGATTGTTGCAAGTTTTAGCTTGTGCTAATATTGCTACACTTAATGGAAAGTACATTAACCTGTTAAGTATATGTGTTATTTAATATATGGTTGGTATTAAATAACAGTGAATTGAGTATAATTATGTATGTAAGGGAAACATTGTATTTTACAAATATGGAATCTTTGATAACATCCGCCTAGTTCTAAATGCATGTATAGTAATAATTTGAAACTAACCCAAGAATTGAAAATGGAAGAGTTGTTTTTCACCTTGATAGTGGTTCTGGATGGATAAAAATATTTTCCAGACTAGTTTCCAGTTTTTGTCTTAAAAAAGTTTAGATATCAGTATTGTTGCTAGACTTATTCAAAATAGATACATGAATTGCACATATTAGAAGAGTTCTGTCCTTTTACTAGTCTCAAGTTAGAAGAATAGGATCAAATTAAATGTTAAGTAAGATTGCCGTCAGGTAAAGTCGTGTGTGTTTTGAGAATAATTGAGAGGCATGCATCGACAGACAAAAAGTAAAAAATTATGATTTCTGTTAGAGTTGTTTTATATGAGGGAAAAGTTATCAAAATTGTATCTGATGGCATAAGTGAAAGAATTTTGGAAGAGAACCTTTTTTTGCCATTGAATTAGGGTTAAATTTCAGTTTATTGTAAATACTTATCTTTTATCTTTTTTGTGTCTACAAGCTTTTTGTTGGTGGACCTTACTTTCAACATTGATTGAAAAACTGCGCTTTGCTTTTGCTTTTTTTCCCAAACATTGTCAGTTCTATGTTAAAATAGATTATTCTGGTCATGTTTCAATGTCTGAATGTCACTTAGCAATTGACTATGGACTTTAAGGTATTAAAAGCATTTCACACATATTTTGCTTAGTAACAACATTTTTAATTAAATAAAATTTAATTGTTAATATGACGTCATTCAGCATTGAAACTGTCTTAATTTTTTTTAAAAATAGTTACATGGAATGTTGTAAGCAGTTTATCATGGCAGTTGCCTCGCCTGTCAATAGAGAGGGTTTCCTGCCTTCAATATTTTGTGTTGTCATAGGATAATTAACCTATGATTCATTTAATTCTTATGCGTTCTCATTTGTTACTACCCTGTAATGGATTAACTCAGTTTTTGCTGGACTCTGTAAAGGATTAGTTACATTTCATGAGTTCTCAAGATATTTATTACCCTGTAAAGGACTTTGTAAATCATATGGTTCTGCCGATATTATTACATGCTAAATAACCAACTTATTATAATCAAACAGCATTGTTTTTCAGTCTTTTACATTGTGGTAATATGTATTTTAAACTAAGTTTGAATATTTAGTGGCAAATGTTAATTCAAATCTATCATTTGTAAAAAAAAAAAGCCTCAGTGTCATTCAGTGATGCTAAGGCTTTATTAAAAGGCCACCAAAAAAAAAAAAAGTTTTTGAACGTTTGATAGTGTAGGGTTACAATATATTTTCTTAAGCGTGTGTTAAGACTATATTCATGAATTAATAATTTAATACATTTTGTAGTACAGTAATTAAGAACCTTTTACCGTTACTGCTCGAGCATTTACAAAAGCTCTTTACAAAAATTATTTTCAAGTTGTCTGGTTAGTAGCTCCTTGATTTCAGATTATTAATTTATGATTGTTGTCAGTTAAGATATTATAAAGGATCATATAATGCTTTTTTTGGTGTAATAAACAACAATCTCCATTATTTCTGTCTGTTATTTCATCCTTTGTTTAGCTAGGTTAATACTGGAAAGATAAGCTATAATTGGAATTTAATCATGACTATGTCGGTTATAATTGGAATTTATACATACATGTTGACCCTTTTGGGTTAAACGCTTGGTTATGATTATAATAATCAGGTATAATTTAAAATTGCTTAAATGTTACTTAAAGGGAAGTTCATCGACAACTGTAACTGGCTTTGGTACAAGAAATTGGACCTAATTTCAATGTTCTTGGATCGAACCAGTTTGCTACCCATACACTTCCCTTCTTACAGGTGCTGTATGACATCTTGGGATGGGGGGGTTTAGCGCTTACTCCTATTTTTTATGCGTAAATGTAATATTTGAAAGATAATTCTTACCTGAATTTAAGCATAAATACTCTTCGAGGCGCATTTGGCCACTGAGGGTTCTTGATCCAAACAATGGGAGCTACCTTTTTCTTAGATTCAGCGCTGTATGACCCTTTTTGGGCTTAGTACTTAGTTTGATTATTTTTCTTGCACTGAATCTGATTGCTTCACATTTTCCAGGTAGTGTATGACCCTTGTGGTTTTACCTGGTGGATCAGGGCCTGATCAACCAGGCTGTTACTGTTTGCTGCACGTAATCCAACGTACGACCCACAGCCCGGCTGGTGAGGTACTAACTTCAGGTACCTATCCAGTGCCTGCTTGAAGACAGCCTGATGTATGCTGGGAGACAGTTGAACAGTCTTGGGCCCCTGATACTTATTGTTGTCTCTTATGCTAGTTGCACCCCTGCTTTTCATTGAGGGGATGTTGCATCGTCTGCCGAGTCTTTCTTTCTTAGGGAGTGATTTTCATGTGCAAATTTGACACTAGTCCCTCTAGGATTTTCCAGATGTATATAATCCTGTATCTCTCCCTCCTGCGTTCTAGGTTTAGGAACTTCAAGCGTTCCCAGTAATTTAGGTGGTTTATCGCAGTTATGCGTGCCCTGAAGGTTCTCTACATTTTCTAAGTCATCAATTTCACCTGCCTTGAAAGGTGCTGTTAGTGTGCATAAATGTGCTACGATATATGTACCCGAGGGTTGTATTTGTGTATATATGCTGAGTTTACTTTAATCCCTATTTTTGGGAAAATTCTGTAATTGAAATTGAGAACCCATCAAAAGAAGTGCCAGGATGCTGGTGGGGGGGGGGGGTATTATTGATCCAAGGAATTGGACTTTACCCCTCTCTTCCTTGGATCGTATTTCACTGCCTCAAGATTTCCCAGGCTCTGTGTGAACCCCTCTGCCCTGCGTCCCTTTGTGCCATGCACAGGTCGAGAGCATTTTGTGAATCTGTGTGACCCCTACATAGGGGTTTAGCACTTCCTAAACATAATTTCATGAGCATTATATGCAAACCCTTGTAATGTACTTCCTTGTGTGTGGGTAGACTGGTAGAGGGTGAGGCTGAACTGAGTCTTGTGAATGGTGAAGGGCTAGTGATATAAGGAAATGGATCACTGCTTCAATTCCTCAGTATGACCCCTAAGAGTTTAGTGCTTCCCAATGAATATATTGTGAAGAATGCTTTCCAGAGAGGGTCCTTGATGCTGGTGAGGTTCTTGATCCATGGACACCTCTAGGGAGGTTCCTTGATGTGAGGGGCTCTTGATCTAGGGAATTGGATCTGTGCTCCAATTCCCTGAATTAAGCCTGAGTGCCTTCCATCCCCTCCACCACAGGCGCTGCATAATCCCTACGGGTTTAGGGCTCCCTCATGATACAGTGATCCAAGGAACTGGAATTATCTTGTTGGATCGAACCACTTAACTTAAGGCCTCCCGTTTCCTCAGGCACTGTATGACCTCTATGGGTTTAGTTCTTCCCTCTTTAAACCCCTCAAAGGGGGTTC